CATCGACATGAGACAGCCATGGGTGTACATGTGTCCCGGCATCCTGAACCTCCTTCCCATCTTCCTCCCTTCCCCCTCCTTCTGGGTTGTTCCAGAGCACCAGGTTTGGGTGCCCTGCTTCAGGCATTGGATTTGCACTGGCTTGACTTCTTTGCTTGTTTGTTTCCATGCTATACCAACATATAAGGTGCTAGAGAGTATTTATAGTGCTGGCGGTGTGTTTTCACAGAGTGTGAGGTTCCAGTGGACACTTCCAAAATTGTGTGCCTTTACTTACACACTCAATTCTCCCACAGAGGTTTTGTTAAAAGGAAGCATTTCCACCAGGAACAGCACGCATATCAATAGTAGCAGCATGGTTGTACCTAAGCACTGCAGAATAGACTTGCAGTACTGGAAACAAACTAAGATTACACACTTTTGTCTTTAACTAATACCCACTGGACCCCTCCAAACTTATATATACACTTTCCTATTAATGTTTCCATTGTTTTCCTCTATAAGATCCAGAGTTCATGGGTTTGAAGATCGTATAATTTTTCATTCTATCTTTAAGAAAAAAGTTTTCAAAATTATTAAAGAAAGCTAAACACTAGAGTGAACATTTATTTTGAGGGAGAAAAGCAATCAACACCAACTGCAAAATTTTAAAAGCTGATGATCCTATAAATATCATAAAATCCAGAAAATGATAGAGTATTTTATTAACTGCCTGATACAGCCTTAAACCCTTCCCTACTTTTTGAACCATAGTTCTTTTCACGTCTAACATGACACAGTATTTTCTATGGAAAGGTGGAGAAATTCAAATTTTTCCCTTTAGCGTGATTGATAGAAAACATTTTTAACACTGATATTTTTGAAGCCTTTCTTTCAGTTTCACATCTCATTAGTGGTTATGATATAGACAGCACTGTCAAATTGGGGGGAACCTCTATCAAATTTCTTTCCCAGCTGAGCTAAACGACATAGAAGAGTTTTTGAGAGATCATTTCTGGCCCCAAACAATTTAGTCCCTGTTAATCCAACACTAACCACATATTACAGCACCAGTGCTGGCTGGAGGTCACAAATGAACAGCAGGATTAGAACTTCATCCATGAAAACAACGGAGGAGATGGGGAAAATATCCCTGGAGTTATTTCTACAAAAGAGTGCTGCTGCTTTAACTACATCACACAAATAAAACTAGTCTGATAAATCCAAACTTACAGATCTCCAACAGAAACTCCACTTGGCATGATCCCACAAGCAACGTTGTTTACTCTAATATAGCCGCCCAAGGGCAAATGTGACAGATGGGCAAATGATCACAACTGATAGCAGGTAAGACACTTTACTTTTCAAACAAAGAAATAGGACTGTGTGAGGACATTTGGCAGGCTCCTCCCTGAAGCTGGAAGGTCAGTTCTTTGCTGTTCATCCTCCCGACATAGCCTTCCTTCCTCCTGTCCCCCATGAACAATCCCCCCAACACAGAGCCACACCCCTGCTTGAGCCTAGACAACCTGACCTGACTCCTCCCTCATCCCCTTGATGTCAGACTTCAGTGTTTCCATCTTCAGTGTTACCTTTGCCTGATTTGCAAGACCATCCCTGTGCACCTAGCCAAGGCCACATCTCAGTAAATCTCACGATGGTTGAATTCCTGAATATTTTCCCCTTTCTTTACTCTGTTCTCCAATCCTCCCTTAACCATTGAGAATTAGAAAATCTGCCCAAACCTTACTTTATTCTCTACTTAAAAACTTTCAGGTGGCCCTTAATTACAGTCAGTGGTGTTATAACCTCAGCCTTTGAGATCATCTTTATCCCCTGTATTATTTCCCCTGATACTTTAAATGAATTCTTTCTCCCCTAAATATTTCCCCATATATTTCAGGTTTGCTTTAGAAAGTCCCCCTTCCTGTATTGTATTCCACCTCCACTCCATTTTTTTTTTTTTTTTTTTTTTCATGGAGCATCCTAGCTCTTCTCTCTCCTTTTCAAATAAATGTCTAAACGAATCATAAATGAATATTAGTATTATTGATTCTTAAATTTATAAGATAAAAAGTTTTTCAAATAAAAAAATAAAAGAACAAATATAATTTAATTTATGCATGCTGGTTAAAAAGGAAAAAAAAAGTAATTTTTATTCATCTTGGTCTGCTGATGTTTTGCTTACCATCTTTGGGATTTCTCTAAATACCTATAGTCATAAAGATAATTCTCTTTTCTGGAGAAGGTGCAGTCTCTATTTGACACAATACATACTATGATGTGACAGGAAACAATAAAGGAAAGAAATGGTAGGGACCTAATAGAAGCAGAAGATATTAAGAAGAGGTGGCAAGAATACACAGAACTATACAAAAAAGATCTTCATAACCCAGATGATCACCTAGAGCCAGACATCCTGGAATGCGAAGTCAAATGGGCCTTAGGAAGCATTACTATGAACAAAGCTAGTGGGAATGATGGAATTCCAGTTGAGCTATTTCAAATCCTAAAAGATGATGCTGTGAAAGTGCTGCACTCAGTATGTTAACAAATTTGGGAAAAATCAGCAGTGGCCATAGGACTGGAAAAGATCAGTTTTCATTTCAACCCCATAGAAAGGCAATGCCAAAGAATGCTCAAACTACCATACAATTGCACTCATCTCACTTGCTAGTAAAGCAATGCTCAAAATTCTCCAAGCCAGGCTTCAACAATATGTGAACTGTGAACTTCCAGATGTTCAGTCTGGTTTTAGAAAAGGCAGAGGAACCAGAGATCAAATTGGCAATATCCAATGGATCATCAAAAAAGCAAGAGAGTAGAAAAAAAAAGCAATCTAAGAGATGGGAATACTAGACCACCTGACCTGCCTCTTGAGAAATCTGCATGCAGGTCAGGAAACAACAGCTAGAACTGAACACGGAGCATCAGACTGGTTCCAATAAGGAAAGGAGTACATCAAGGCTGTGTATTGTCACCCTGCTTATTTAACTTATATGAAGAATACATCATGATAAATGCTGGACTGGATGAAGCACAAGCTGGAATCAAGGTTACCAGGAGAAATATCAATAGCCTCAGATATGCAGATGACACTACCCTTATGACAGAATGCGAAGAAGAAATAAACAGCCTCTTGATGAGCGTGAAAGAAGAGAGTGAAAAAGTTGGCTTAAAATTCAGTATTCAGAAAACTAAGATCATGGAATCTGGTCCATCACTTCATGGCAAATATAAGGGGAAACAGTGACAGACTTTATATTTGGGGGGCTTCAAAACCACTGTAGATGGTGACTGCAACCATGAAATTAAAAATTAAAAGACATTTGCTCCTTGGAAGAAATGTTATGACCTACTTCAGTTCAGTCGCTCAGTCGTGTCCGACTCTTTGCGACCCCATGAATCGCAGCATGCCAGGCCTCCCTGTCCATCACCAACTCCCAGAGTTTACTCAAATTCCCTCTTTGTGTAAATGTGTCATTTATGTTAGACAGTGACTCAGGTTCTTGTCATGGTCTCTGTTACTCATGTTCCTTTTCCATTCTTAGCTTGGTCAATTAAAATTAAACTGAAATCCATTCAAAAACAAAATAACACCACTAGATAGTCATGACTGCCACTTCTTGATAATCCTGGAAATCAATGTAACAGCTCTCAGGACTTTGCTACATATATATGTGGGTTCTCAACTGGGTTGCATCATTTCTAAGAAGATAAACATCCAGCCACTAGGCTTAAATTTCTACAATCTCAAGTCTTAGAAAGATGCAGAGAAAACTTATTACCATAAGTTTTTTATTAGAGAGTTGGTATATAATTATCCTGGCAGTGAAGATGAAGTTATCTTTTTCTTTTCCAGATACATTGCACTAAAATGAATTATTCCTTATCAATTGCTTCCCAAAAATATAAATTTGGCAGAATTTCTGTCTATCTTTCTTTTCACCTCTAATATACAGACTTTATTTTTCCCTCCTCATACCTTACTATCAATGAAATTTCAAGTATTTTATAAAATGAGGCCTATGGGATTGTCTTGAGGGATAAAGACAACCAAATAATTTTAGGTCTTCCTGTCTTCCTTCCAACCTAACCATGTGGCCATTTATCACACACCCTCAACCCTTATACAATTTGGTATCTGATATTAAGCCCTTTTCTTGTCACCCTTCTATATACTTGAAAAGAATTCAAAATTGTGATATAATTTATAAATGTATACATAAATTTATATATGTGAATATACATATAAACTTAAATATACATATAAACTTTATGCATATAAGCATAAATTTATTCAGGCAGAGATCTTTAGATGAAGGAGCTGGAGTGAAAAAGTATAGTGTACCACAAATATTGTGGATTCTTAAGTAAAATACACATTAATTATCCAAATATTAAGCTAAGTTTAAATAATTTCCACTTTTTTTATAGTATTTTTTAAAATGATAACTTGGTTACATTAGGCTAAACATCTAGCAAAATATTAAGTGAGAGGAAATAGCTTATGTAGGTGAGAAACCAATGGACCTATGCTGTGAAAAACTTGGAGGGAAGTATAATTTCACTGTATGAAAATGAAAATGAAATTGATGTATATTTCTTAAGCTAATTGCATTAAAGTTTACACACAATTGACCAGATTGTCATCTTGTGTAGCACTTTTTCTTGGAAATAGACCTTTCATAATTCTCCTCTTGAAGTCTCATACTTGTGTTTTAGAGGAAATTTGATTTATATAAGTGGAGGATAGAGATTTTTAAAAAATACTAATGTGAGATGAGAAAATTATAGCACTCTTCGTCAATAACCTGTATTATTCTTACTGAATATTCTTGCTAGAATTTTATTATTCAGTGAATATTATTCTGTTATTATTTATGTTCAAATTGTGTTTTATGTCTAGAGATTCTTGGGATATTACCTCAGTACACATTTTTATTTCAAATTCCATATAAGTTTTGGGGTTGATTCCTCTCAAATACAGTAACATTGATTACTGTCTAAATCTATTGCAGTGTTCCTGAATACTATGACTATGGTCATGGAGTAAGTGAGGATGCCTATGACAGCTATGGTAAGACCTTTTCTTTACTAAAACTGAAATCAAAACATTCATCAGTCACTGACAACGCAGAAATTACCTCTATCTTTCTAACAGTTTTTTTTAGAAGTCCAGATCACATTGATTTATGTAATTACAGGGTGAGATTTTACCTAGAGAGCCAGAAAATTGAACAGATTAATTTTGATTACAATTTCAAGAGCAATTAATCACAATCATAGATAATTTTCAACAGCAACAATGAACATTCTGGATAGTGTCTTTCTTAAATGTTTCACTGTTTCCATTGTCTGACTCATTGATATGACAGCAATGTTGTGCCTTTCTGTTATCATAAAGATCATTAGAATAATACACAGTTAAGAGATTTATAAACTTTTTAAGGAAAGAAATTGTAACTTTCAAGTTATTTTTATTGCATGTAGTTCCTGAAAGTGCCAAATAATGATTGATTCATAAGAATTAATAGTCAGTAAGCATATCAGTGTATAAATTAATTTCAAAACTACATAATTTAATTTAAAACCCATTTAAAGTTAATTGTTCTTCAACTCAGTAATATTATTGAGTGCCTATGATATATCAATACAGTACATTACTTTAGAAGTATAGTTTCTGGTTCCTGAAAATATATGTGCCGTATCACCAGCTGACTGCCTTGAAAAATAACATTCATTTACATGTCCCCAGNGAATTTTAAGCATTACTTTACTAGAGTGTGAGATGAGTGCAATTGAGCAGTAGTTTAGATTTTTATTAAAATAATATGAAGGCCAATCTGTTCCTCTTTATGAGGAGCAGTAAAGGAGATAATGAATGTGGCCTGCTTTGGGGGCTCCCTGTAATGAAGGGGTAGTACTCCACTGGGACAGGGAAGGAAATGTTCAGACATTGGGAGAAAGTGCACCCTCCTCAGAACAGAGGCATCGAATCAACCCACTTCTCTGACGACTATCATGAGGCCAATTTAGAAACAGGAGCCGCCATCATAATGATTGCTACCCAAAAGTTGAGTTTGTCCTTTGAGCACAAAGGTATTGTCAGGCTTTAGGAATATGATGGTATACACAATCGATATTGTCCCTCCTGGTTCTTACTGTCTACTTTTGAGAAACATATTCCTGCATTTAAAAATTGTGCCAGGCTATAAATCATGTGATGAAGTAGAAGACCACAGACCATTACTCACGCAACAAGTACTTATTTAATAAGCCACTCATCTCAATCCTGGAGATACTTTAGTGAACAATCTCTTAAAGCTTACATTCTAATTAGAACATTGTTATTTATGAATCACTTTTTCAAGTGGAACTTTTATTTGTAAAATACAGTCATTGCTTTTCACATGTGGTACAGAAATTTGAGGAAGAATCATCACCTGTGAGATTTACTTTACAAAATTTTATGCTCTGAAGAAAATGGCAAGGATGAATTTGATGATATGTGACTGCATAGTTGGTAACGGGATGGGAGTTTATTTAGATTATATCACTTTTTCTATCAATATTTTCCTTCTGTCAACATTGCATTTTATTCTCATATTTCTTTATTGTTTCTCATTTTTATTTTTTATTGCAGTATATTTGATCTACAATATTGTATTAATTTCAGGTATAGAGCAAAGTGGACCAGTTACACATACACATATATCCACTTTTTTTTTTTAAGATTCTTTTCCCATTCAGGCCATCTATTTCTCAATTATTTACATTTAAATTTTAATACCATGTAAATAAGGCAATAGGGAAAATGTGTGAATATAAATGATTACTTCTCAGACCTTCCGATGGAGCTGCAGGAGCCATGGTCAGGAGGGCTGGACTCACCTTGAAACCTATTTTGTTCTTTCATGGTTGTTTAGCTCTTCTGCTGCAGCCAAGTCTAGAAATAGATTCTATCACTTTATAAGCCACATTGCTCATAAACACTAGATTTCATTCTGAATAAATCAGAATTTACCAAGCAATTCTCTGCATACAGAAAGCAATTGATAATTAAAATATATATATATTTCTTAATAAAGTAATGAGGAAAATGTAGAAAGTGGTTTGTCTTATCTGGACACACTAAGAAAGATATTAGGCAGGAATTTTTATATAATAACTTTTATTACCTAAAATTTCAGCCAAATTGGCCAATATTCTTATTGTTAAAGGATTGAACACATTTATGGTTAAAAGTAGACTTCTCTTTAGGATCTTGACTTTTTCTTTGGCCACCAAGATTCGTTGCCATTTTCTGACGTTGTTGAGCAAGTGTTAGTTCAGGAATACATTTCACATTCAAGATAATTTGACTCGCTGTTTGTAAATGTTGATGTATCAACCCTCTATGCATTCTAACTTAGGGAGTGCTTCTTGATTTTCATGTCAGAAAGGTAATTATGCTGACAGAATTTGTTTCTTTTGTTGGAGTCAGGAGGTAACATTCCAGAGACAGTAACCAATGCCCTGCAACCCTTTTCCATGGTGCAGCTCATAGAAAGCAGTGGAGTAGAGGAAGGAGGCTGCCCACAAGTCAGGATTCTAGCAGCCCAGTGCCCCTTCCACCACCCCATAATCCGCTCATTGTGACCCATCTCTGCTGCACTGGGCCACAGGATGCAGTTTGGAGCTCTGAACAAAAGTGCCTGTGTTTTACACATTGCACATGTGAAATTAGTTACATATTTTTCGAAAAATTTTGCCACAGATGTTAAGAAGTGTAAGTAGATACATAGGTATGACTAACCTAAAAATAATTTATTTTCTTACACTACAAATAATATGTATACACTATAGAAAATTTAGGTTAAAAAAGGAAATTTAAACTATACTCATTTATTTACTCATTCTTTACTGTTTGTTATATGTTTCACCCATTTTTAAATCCAGCATGATACACATCTTATCTAAAAAGAAAACAAAATATAGACTGCTTTATAAAAATTCTTAATAAGATTTTCCCATCATAAAAGTTTCTTTTAGTTCTGCATTTGACAATGTAAAATTTAATACATTTTCATATGTACTATTATAATTATCCATGAACATGTAGATTTGAAAAGGGATGCTCCTTTTGTATAACCAGGAAATGAAGAAACTGTTTCCCAGGTGGCTCAGTTGGTAAAGAATCTGCCTGCAATGCAGGAGACCCAGGTTTGATCCCTGGGTTGAGACAAGCCCCTGAAGAAGGAAATGGCAATCCACTCCAGAATTCTTTTCTGGAGAATTCCATGGATAGAGGAGCCCAGCGGGCTACAATTCATGGGTACACAAAGAGTCAGACATGAGTGATTAACACTTTTCAAAGAAACTGTTTGCATGTCAATCTATATAGTCATGAGATTTATATTTGGAGAGTGTTCATGTTCCCATACCCTATACAGACAATTGAAAAAGGAAGGACAGTCAAATGATGAGAAATAGTAAGAGTTCAGCATTGTAAATTTGGAGGCTAATTAAATTAATATGCATTATACTCACTGATTTTAGTATTAGGTGATTATGAAAAGTGAGCTTTAAGTTCTGCTTCTTGTTCCATAGGTTGCTCATCCTGCCATGTCCAAATGGACAGATGATAATATTTAAATATGCATTTGGACAAGTGATTTGAGGACCCACTCATATAAAGTATAGATTGATGTATTTCATTAATTTTCTATACCTCACATGTTAACAAGTATCCACTTATAGCTTATGTGTAATAAACTGTGTGCAGTCTTTTAAATTAATAACATCTACTTCAAAGTGTAAATCTTGCATCTCTGTTTATTCACTTATATTTTGAATTACTAATTCCTCTTTGTTACATTTTGGTTGTATCATGGATACAGATGTGTAGTTTTATAAAATAAAGAGCTCCAATTCTCAGTTTCCTGGCAACACCTAGACTTGAACAATGGTTGAGGAGACTCACAACCAGCTGCCCCAGATCCTCCTCTTCATCTCAGGATTGAGCTGCAAGAGAGGAACAGGGAATGCTATCCAGGATGATTGGATCCTGCATTAAAATCCTCACGGATGGAATCTCTTATTCAGGATTCCTTCCAAAATATTTCAAAATAAACCAGTGGAAGTAGGAATCTAGTCACTGAGTACGACACTTTACTGTGAATCTTTACATATTGTATTTCATATATCACCAGATGGAAATTGTGTTTGTATCTTTTGGGCTCATATTTCATGTTGAAGTGACAAATATGCTGACTCCTGTGAATATTATGTATCCTTTTAGGCTTTACTGCAATTAAATTATTCAAGATATTTTTCTACAATTTAATGTTGAATATTAAACTATTTTCTTAAAATGATGTAAATATTTAATATTTAAAATAAATATTAATATGAAATATGATACAATTCTATTTAATATATAAAATTAATATGTAATAATCTACTTATATTTAATAACCATCAATGAATTAATGATTATTAAACATTTCATTGATGCTAAATTATTGTCAAATTAATATATAAACAGTAAATTTATGATAATTTGAACTTATTTTTGTCACATGACTATTTGAATTACAGAAATTGCAAAGTGGTTTTTACAGTTTTAAAATATTTCCTAATTTATTAGAGTCTATAATTACTTTGGATAAGTCTGAATAGCTCATAATTCAATAAGGGCATGCTTTGAATAGAGAGCATGGATCAGCTTGTCTTATGAATACTTTATGTAATAAACACCCTCCAAACTGAGATTGTTAGCTAAGAATGGCAGTAACATTCTCTTCTCAGAGAAGAGTGCTGTTTGTTAAAATGTATTTAATGTACAAACTGAACGGTTAATTATGGATCTATTTCACAGTGGAATTTTAGATGACAGCTGTGTGGAAACATGGAGGGTAATACTAACACTGTCTTGAAATGAATGAAAGCAAAAATTTTTGTGTCCTATTCTAGGACATTTGAGTGCCTCACTTCAAGCTGATTGCAGAACACAAACGCATTCATTATATGTCAAGGAGCTGAATGTTTATTATCCCCATGTGAAAATAAGCCCTGTTTTGATTAAACTGTGAAAAT